AAACTGAGGAGGCGGGCCTTGGGTGGCCTTGATAAAGATGGCAGGAAGCTCAGGGACAGGTGAGCTGCGCTCCAGTGAGTTTCAGCTTTAGCATCTACGATTAGGGCTTTGGATTTGAACTAAGGCTCTTGCACCCTCAAAATGGAATTCCAAACCCTAGCCCCCAAAGCCCAAATCTTCCCCCAGAAAGCCCCAAATGGTCCTATATAGGAGCCTTAGTGTAGGATTTCGGCCTGCATTTTGTTGGTGCCTCCACAGGTGGGTTGAGCCCAAGTTAGCAGGGAATCAAGGAGTCGATTCTGTTACTGAACTCAAAGCCCTATGGTTTTCCAAGATTCCTCAGCAAAGCCCAAGAATCCCGGACCCGAGATAGAAATCAAGAGACTAAAAACTAACGCGCCATCCCACGATATCCAGAGCTAACGTAGGTTCAAGTGTTTTCAGACATCGAAATCCAGGATCTAGAAATCCGATCACGGCAATACATGCGCAACACTTAAGAGGTGTGCGCAACCCGTGCTGGCACCCTCCACTTTTCTGACTTCCACAAGATCCATAGCTAACCTAGTTACCATTTTCGAAAAGAATTGAATCGGGGAGTTTAAGCCGCGATTGCGGCAATTCACGCGCGAAAGCTAACAAGCGCGCGGCAACCTTTTGGAAGTCTACGCCATTCCTCGTGAACAGAGGCCGAAGACCTAGACCTTAAACACTAAGCCCCAAATTCTGAATCGCTTGACCCGGAACCCTGTGAGTCCCTGTGGGTCCAGATACTTAATGAATGGGTGCTAGGGATTTGGGCAGTAGCAGCTGCAGTACTGGAGAAGTGTATGATTATTAGGTATTTGAGCCATTAGAGTAAAACTCCTGAACACGAAATCCATAACCCTAAGCCCCAAATCCAACATCCTGAACCATAATAAGTTGGGTTAGGCGGTTAGGCTCCCACCCATTAATCGTGAAATTATGGGAATATGTGTAGGGCCCAAGCTAAATGATAAGCACTAAGTTTCCTACGCCCTGAACCCTGAACCCTAACCCCTAAACCAAGGCGTGGTGCGAGCGGTGCAGGAAGGCTGCATGCCAGCAGAGCTGGATGAGGAGGCCAGGTGGGCTATAGTCTAAACTCCTTAGAGGGGCTTCATATAGGGGATTATATAGGGGAGTTTCATAGCAGGGGTTATTAAGGTGGATACTAGGAGTTTAGACTATGGCGAGGTTTAGGGTTCAGGGTTCAAGGTAGTTTAGCATGTGGGGTTTAGGATTTAAGGTGTTTAGGATTTAGGGTGCTTAGGGTTTAGGATTTATGGCGCTTAGCAACTACTCTAACTTGGCTCTGCGCCTATTTATGATACACCATTACAAGTAGGGTCGTCGGCCAAGATATAAGTAGTGCCTAGGTCCCATGAACCTCCAGATAGTGTTTAACGTTGCGAATTACTGGGGCTACTGCTGGTTGTAAACATCCTGGATGACGTTACCATACCGCCCAAGGAATATGGTACGTAGGGTCATGCCCGTTTTTTTAACAACACTCTTATCTACTATAACTTTCGGACAGCCAAATGGAACACCAAACATCGAATGAAATGGAAGCTGACATTCCATAGGGCCTTTGTAATGTTTCTTATGGGGGTTCTAACGTCCCCAAGACGGAGACGATGTCCCCTTTTCGCGTGTAGCGCTTGAAAAGATGGATCTAATGTTTTTTGGGTTACTTAACCCTAAATGAACCCTAAACATTACACCCCTAACCCGTGTGCTTTGTTGGTTTGGATTTAGGAGTAGGATCCAGAGGCCCCTAATCCTTGACCGCCGGAGTTCCGATTAGATATTCCCATTGTGGAAGACGATTAAGTCTTGAGAATATTCTATTGGGGAGGGTTTCCGGGTCAAAGTACCACAATGGGAATATCTAATAGGGGGGTTCCTATTATTAGGGGAGGGGATTACTTCCTGACCCTACTCCCTAAACCCTACCTGGGTAACCAGACAAACAGGCATGATATGGTTGTTCCCAAGGCCCGCACTTTCCTAAATAAGCACCCTACACCCTAAACCCTCCCTAATCTACAAACCGTGGTGGCTTGGGAGCAAACCTTAACCAGCAGGATTGCCGCATCTTGAAGGAGCTGCTGACAACTGCCTGCTGCGCCCTGAGACACTACTTACGGAGCCTATTGCCCGGAAAGCAAACATGTTTTTTCAAGCAAAAATTGGGGTCAGAGTGTCACTTGGGGCTATTCCTCGGTTATAAGGCGTCTTGGGTCGTGGTAGGGTTTGGGTGGTAGAGATGAGTAGGCCTCAGAAGGTGCATGAGAGAGACTTCGTTAGACCCACTCCTGGGTTTAGGCTTTAGGGGTTGAGGGTTTAAGGATTCAGGGCCCCAGAAGGGTTTTAAAGGTCAATATTTGCTTTTATTAAAGGGCCTATACGCAATGATCACAACACCCTTGGTTGAGGACTATACCATAGATCGTACGAGGGCTGCATGTTTCTTAATTAAAGTATATTGGGCCCTCTGGGCAGCATAAACCTTGCAAATTTCTTAGCGGTCCGTAAGAGAGTTTCCTTACAGAAAAAAGCCTAAACCCTAAAACCTAAATAGTAGTTTCCATTTTCTTTTCCTGTTCCCCTATATGACCCCTATATACCCAGTCCCTGAGCCTTAAGCCTGACGCCCCCAAACCAAAACCTGAAATCCAACAATAGCTGCCACATGTTATTTTAGGGTTCAGTATTTAGGGTTTAGGGTGATATTTCTCATAGGTCCCTTGTTTACTCGGGGCAGGTTACATCAGTTTCAAAGCCTGGTAACAGCACTAAATCCCAATACGGACACACAATCGGCCGTTTTGATGCTATCCCAAAAGGAACGCGTATTCCTTAAACCCTCCGAGCAAAAACTCAAAACCCTTAAACCCTGAAGCTAGCCCCAAAACCTAAACCCTAGGTAAACTCCACAGCTCTCCCATTCCGGCCGAGGCGGCGCAGAGCCCACCTTACACGCTGAGCCTGGATCGGTGCAAGTTCCTTTCGAAGAAGCCTTGCGCTTGACGTAGTTTAGGGTTCAGGGTCAACGTTGTACCGAGAGATGCCTGTGTACCTATAAAAGGGGGGTCGTACCCAATATTTTGATATCTGTATCCTCTTTTCAGGGGTCTAAGGAGTCTACGGGTGACTCCAGGTAGGAATTTGGGTTTGAGATGTAGGCTTTAGGGTTTCTAAGGCGCCACGTAAGCATAATGTTGTGTCCCGATAAATGTGGAGGGACTCAATTGTGCGAAGTTTCGCCGAAATTATTCTTACCCCCCTGGTTCGTTTTGGGGGGCCTTAATTGTGCGAAGTTGCGCGGCCAAATGAAAAAAAGCCAATCCAGCCTGTTGAATTTTGATTAAAACCTAGGATCCAATCCCGCCTAAACCTAGGATCCAGATTTGTTTGGGGGGCCCCCCTGTCCCGCTGTATTAAAAGAGTCCCCCTATTCGTTTGGGGGGGGGGTGTGCCCCCTACACTAATCAGGACCCCACATTAGGCTAGATGATACATGGATTGCACACAAAGAGCCTCACACCTGGAGAGGTTTAGGTCCAGGTTGATGACACCTCTTTAAGGGGCCCTGATCTTAAGAACCTTTCCACGCTCACTTTTTTGCTATGTTCCTTCAAAGTTCCCTGACAACTCGAAGTCTGCACAAGTAATGGCTGCTTGGCTACTTGGGCATCTGGGGATTGAGCCCAGCCGCGGCAAAGAGGGTTGCCCCTAGACTACCCCCCCGAGGTTCCCCCTTAATTCGGGGTGGTATAGGCGTCCTAGGCAAATGGTAGGGCTACTCCGGGCTGTAATGAAGATTTGCATGAAACTCTCTGACTTTGAGTCACGTGCTGCTTCTCCCTAAGCCGGACCCTTAAACCGGGCCCTCAAGTGCAAGTTGCTCTTTGGGACCGCTTCAGAGTCCTAAGCCAAGACCTCCTTGTTTGGAGGATCTTCAAAGGATCCTAGCCATAGCAAGAAGTGTCCTGGACAAGTGGTATAGGGTTTAGGGTTTAGGAAGTGTCCTGGAAGAGCAACGAACATCAGAGGTCTTGGCAGGTCTCAGTTGCCCCTGCTTTCACGCTGCGCGCGTAGCTGAGATGCAGAGGCGTGGGGAAAATCATCGCAGCGCGCTGGCTTTAACAGAATGCTCTGTATCTGTTTCAACAGAATGCTCTGTATCTGTTTCCTGGAAAGATTAAGCCCTGCAGCACTTGCGAGATTGCAGCTTGGGATGTGAAAGAGAACAACATGTGCTTACGAGAAAGCGCAGACGTGCCCTCATAGTGTACCAGTCCGGCATAACATGCTAGAGTTTATCCTTCCCCAAACTAGCATGGACCCCAACAAGGGTCTGGTGCAGACTACTTTATGGGATTACATGTCAGTGCGGGGGAGATGTGAGATTTCGGCAAACAGGGGTCCCCTTGCGCAGCGTATTTTGCAGTATTTTGAGGTCCAACGAAGTACGCACCGTTTTGAACAAGATCTCTACGTGATTCCTAATGGGTCTCCCATAATTTCGTAGTACAGTCCCTACTGACGCCTATGATCTTGGGACATTCATTTGCTTATAAACCCCTCATATTCAGAATTCATGAGCTCCTGTGCCAACCCCCTCCACCGGCCCACTAGGGTTCCCGCATTCATTAACCTTAATCAGCCCTCATTCTCCGTAAATGCGTAACCCCAATTAAGGGGTAAATTTGGGCCCGGCAAAAGAATAAGGGAGGTAATTATAGTCACTGAATTGGTGTATAGTACCTAATTCCCAGAAGGCTCCACATAGGTACTGTCCGCAGCCTAGAATCCGAATTCACTAAGCCAGTTCATTTTGCAATATACTCTAAACGGAGCATTAGACTGCTGAGATTTGCAAGGTAGCCTACCCCATTCCCTAAGTTGTAAACCCCAAGCCCTAAGTGCCCCTTCAGATCAGAAGCCCTGGGAAGTATGCGCCCTGCCAGGAGTGGAGCCGAAATGTTGGGCTACCTCAACGCGCCTGGCCTGCAAAATCCTTTCCTCTAACCTTACCCAGAGGGTCCAAGTACCCAATAATTAGGTACTTGGGTTTTGGGTAATAGTAATAGTAGTATAGGTTTTGGGTAAGTATATGAGTATTAGGTACTTGGACCCTTAGGGTTAACTCCACCACTCCTCTCATGCTTCCTGAATACTCCCATTGTAGTATACCAGAGTATGGCAATGTTTAGCATTAGTCGGGATGGGGAAATAACAGATTTGGGGAGGGGGCTAGTTCTATTTGATCGGTTAAGCAAGTCAGGAAAGAATGGGCTATAGGGGCTATTACTATGGGGATGCTACTTTTGTCATTCATGCCACCATTCCATGCTGACCACCATGACCAGAGAGTCCTTGGGTGTAGCGTGGCTAGCCACATTAGCATTCCGTCGCCCAACCCAACGTTCAATCAGTAACTTGTGTCGGGTCCTATTTTCGCACTTGTCATGACTGCAAGGGCCCAAGAATTCAAGTGTCATAGACGTCCAAATTCTGTACTACAAGTACTGCCCACATCCCAGGTACCCATATTTGGAACGTTTGTGCAGTTTAGGAAGCACAGGTTCGGGCGCGGGTAATTAAAGTTTCCCTAAAGCAATCAGATCACATAGTCCCTCGCACAGACTTCTATGTTGCTGGACATATTTAATGTAAGTGGCAGGGGACGCCAGCTCATGTGGTCAAGTGCAGGATCCTGTGTAGGCATGGGCTTCACTGCTGGGTCTAGGGTTCGGCAGCGTACCTTCAGGACGCTAGGGCTGGGCATGGCTTGTGGGCTCCCTTGAAGGTGTTTTATTAAAACCCAAAGGGTCCATGTACCCAATGATTAGGTACTTGGGTTTGGGGTAATAGTAATTATTGTGCAGGCTTTGGGTGAGCATATGATTATTAGGTACCTGGACCCTCGGCGAAACACTCTCCGGTCAAAGACGTGGTTTCAAGCTGTGTTAAGGAACGAGCCCAACGTCGATGGTTTGAGACCATACGAGAGCACCCAGAAGGGCCCTACATCATCCGTGTTAGGGAGCCCCATTATCTCCTCAAAAATCCTAAGCATCCCCTAAACCCTGGACCCTAAACCCTAAACCTGGACAGGAATTCCCCTTTTCTTTCGACTGCGGGACTCCGAAATCAAAAGGTGTTGACTTACAGCCCCGCGCCTCTATTACCTTACTGGCGGTTAGTAGGGAGTATGGGGTTTTATTGCATAGGGAGTATATGGGAATTATATTCCCTACTAGCCACCAGTTCTTTTGGAATGTTGATTACGGCTCAGTGGCTCATCTGAGAGCTTCTGCACAATGACCTCATCGTTTTTTTGTTGCAAGCGTAACCAGAGCCAGGTAGGGGAACGGCCATGTCCTTTTTTGTCGAAGCGTCCACCTACGTATCCTATGCTGCGAATCAGTATGTAACAACAAAATGCAGAAGACACCATCGTTGAACATTTAGATGTTCAGGGGCCGTCCACCACAAACCCCCTAGTGCTGAATCTTAAATGCTGACCCTAAAACCCCTCAACACGGTTGCTGACAGGGAACTCAAATCAAGTTACCTGTATAAGCCACATGGTGTGGAGTTTAGGCTTACAGTAGTCAGTAGTGTTTATAGGAGGTTAGGAGCTATAAGGAAGCCATGTGCCTTACTGCCTTGCTATACATTGCACATGTTGGTAACGGAGTTGAGTTCCTTCACAACCACCCAGTACAACCCTTTCAAACTCCAACACCAAGACCTCAATGCCCAAACCGCGAACTGAAACGATTTAAGCCTAGAATGAATCAGTCGCCATCTTTAAGTAGCGTAAGTACCTAAATGGCAACCAATATCGTGGTTCGTATAGAGTACCTCATCAATCATGTAGGGTCCTGCATTACTTTCTTCCGTGTATTCCTTGTTTTCTGGCTTGCTGTTAAGGAACTGAAATTAAGTTACCATAATGGGTATATATAGTAAATAATAGGGTTTCCCCAATATAGTAACTTAATTTAAGTTCCTTAACAGCAACCCAGTTTTTTTTCCTGAGCAGGGGCTCCACACCCCCAGGCCTGGGACCCGAAACTTAGCCGAGGACCATTTTCAGGTGGGTAGCTACGATCTCCTTCGGAAGAACTGCTGGGGCCTTACTGATTCTAGGGTTTAGGGTTTAGGGTCTAGGGTTTAGGGTCTAGGGTTTGGGGTTTAGGATTACCTGTTCATTATATTGTAGGACCCCCCCCCACCCCGCAAAGCTACCTGTAAGCAGATTGTTTATGTAGTTCCAACTTGCGGGCATGCAGGCTCTACAGAATCACAGGGAGGTTTACGTTGGAAGCCTGAAAACAAGGCTTCTCTGCAGGGTGCAGGTTGGAGGATGCAAGTTTGAAAGTCCACTATAGGTAACCTAACAGCCGGAGCTCAAGATGATGGTTCCCAAAGCAACCACTTCAAAGGTGAGGACCTTGAGCTACATATTTGTTTTTGAAAAGCTGCTTGCTTCCTTTTGGCTGTTTGGCTGCCCAGCTTAGGCTGTAAGTCTCCAGGTTATTAATGACGGCATGGTCCTGATCCCTAGATTTTGCAGGGTGGGCGGCTTAGGGTACATCTCGAAAATAGTAGGATCCTCCACATAAGGACCATCAGAAACGAGGGGTCCATACTAATTGCGTAGAATCCTTTATCCCTAAGAGTCCAAGTACCAAAATGGGATGCAAGTTGAGCTTCAATCAGTTGATTTACAGGTGTTTTGGGCAACACTTTCTATTCTATGCATGCCTGGACCCGTCCGGTATACGTCAATGCTGCAGACTGAACAGATCTGGAAAAGAACTTGTGTTTGAAATTGGAAACAGTAGCCATAGAGGTACTGTAGAAGCCTATCTACTTAACAATATCTTGACCTTAAGGCTAGGAGGGTTTCTAAGAAGCGTTTGGGTGGATATATAGACGGCCGAATGATGGCCAACAAAAAAGAATGAAGTGGATCAAGCGGAGAAAAGAAACTAGGGTCATGGAGGGCTTAATAGGGATGTAGAAGACTCAAAGATTAGCAGTACCCCCAACCCCAGTTACAGTAGATGGAGTCTTCACAACAGCGCTTAGAAGCATTTTCATGCTGCGAGCTGCTATTTCCCGGGATGATGAAGGCATCCCACAAAGCCAAAATGAACAAAAGCCAAGAACCATCCAGCAAAGTGGTGGCGTAAGCTTAAACGCCATGAAGCTGCCGTTCATGAGGTAACTATGAACTACTCAACTATAGGCAAATGGGGCCAAAAGAACCCTCGCAAGCTTACATGCAACCGGCGACCTGCGTTGAAGCGGATAACGCTGTGAGCAGTTTGAGCTGGCTAGGCGGTTTAGGGTTTAGGGGTCCATTCGCCCCCTTTTGTATGAGATAGCTTGACCCGCGCACTGACTTAAGTAGGGGATCATATAAGTAGTAAGAAGAGCGATTATCCGATTATGCAGGCATACACTTGGCATTCTCTTGGATTACGGACTCAGTCTTTAGCATTGCGCACACAGAGGGTTGGGGAAAGTATATTTGCATTCCTGTCAACCGATGTCCTGACCACTTTGGATCTCAAACTGCTGCATGGTTGACTGCAACTTAGCCAATGCGGCTGAGTCCGCCCAACTTCCAACACCCTCCCCGCCCGCCCCCCCTTCCCGCAAGTTCAAGTGGCGTAGAGGTCTGACACGCCCCTTGCCCAGGACCGGACAAGAAGTGTAATGGTCCGAGCACTCTCATGATAAACCGTGTCCAGCTGTGTCATTCAAGATTGTAGACTTGTAGTACTTGTGTAGTTGTAGCAGGAACTACCCGGCTCGAAGCCGTGTTTCAATTACTTTCCAGAGACCCCTGTCTCCCAACATGAGACTTAAGGGGCACCATTTTGGAGTTATGCTCTAGTACACATGCTCAACCTATTTTGGGGTTCTGTTGTCGCTATAGGATTAGGTTTTAGGGTGCAAGCATATGAGGGTTTACCTTTGCAAGTCTCTATGCAAGCCCGCCTTCGGTTCATCTAAACCATGCTCAGAGGTTGAGGGGCAGGCTTACGCAGGTTTATGTGGGGTTGTAGTAGGAGTAGCACCACTATGGTTATGACCCATGTAAGGTATGTCACGCACTTATGAATGATACCATGAACATCCAAGCAAAAGAAACCTTGCCTGGAGTGCCAGATTGGCCGGGACGGAGAGCTTACCCAGCCACCCAAAAAATCAAGCCCCCAACAGAAGCAACACAGCTGTATTTAAGTATTCAAGTACTCAGGTATACGGCCTTGGGTACCAACTACGGTAGCGGTAGGAGCGTTTGATACCTAAAGCCCCAGTCTTTGGGGAAAGTGGGCCCAGATAAGCACCCTGGGGCCCCTTGTAGCTGCTATCACGCAGGGTTAAGGGCTTGTAGGGGTATATAGGGGTTATACAGGGGTTATACAGGGGGTTTTATAGGGATATATAGATGTCTAGTGTAATCTTAACCTCGGGCCTAAAAAGGTAAAGCCGCCACAGTACTGAGTACCTACACCCTAAACTCTTCAGGTGCATAGGTTGCTCTAGATACACCCCAAGTCCTGCAAAGGCAACGCCTTCACCGACTGCGCCTTGTATTTCCTCTGTGGAAAGCGTCTGGACTGTGGGAGTCTTTGCACATTGCGTGCCTAGAGAGCCTAATGCTCTTTAGATACGGGATAGACCCATGTGACACTAAGATGCCTCATCTAATCTGAGGCAATATAAGCATACATTTTGGGTTATTGGGCTCCTGGGGTAGGTAGAAGGGTTCGAGTTTGGGATTCTATGGCTCAGGGTTGGAGATAAACGGGGCCCGCCTCACGTACCCGAAATAGCCTACACCCGATACCCAGAGCCTTGAGATTTTAGGGATGATCAAGGGTACACCCAAGACAAAAGAGCCTGTAGGTTTAGGATTTAGGGATAAGGGTTTAGGGGTTTAGGGGTTTAGGGTTGAGGGTTTAGGGTTTACCCAGGTTCCTGGCATTACCATGGCACAGGTATCCTCGAGTAGACCAGAAATCTTATTGGTATTTACTCAAGCCTCTGTCTTAGGCAGTTGAGTAGTAGGGCACCGTCTCAATGCTTTCTGCTCAAGCTGATTTTGGTATACCCTTGGCTCGTTCCGGCTTACAGTAATTGTCTAAAATACAGGGACCGTAAATTGCTTTTCCGGGTCCATGGAGTCCCACCAGAAAAGAACTTTTAGAGGAAGAGGTGGCCGCCCAACATGTGAAAGAAACAGTTTCAACATGCAAAATCTTAGGATGTCCTTCAGGGGGGTGGTCCAAGGGGGCAGGTAACCTAGTAATCCCCATTATGCCCTTATACTCCCTGAGCCCATAAGGATCCTATAAACATCTGTGGGCACCCACATCACCTGGAACTGAGTTGTTGGGCAGCATGAAGTAGCATTAGTAGGCCCCAAGCCCTGAAGCCTAAAGCCTGAACCCTAAACCCTAAGCCCTAAACCCTGTTATGCAGCCCTAAACCCTGAACGCTATAACCTGAATCCTGAACCCTCAGCTCTGATTTCCTTCCGTTCGTTATTATACGCAACCTAGGGTGGAGTTCCCTTTTTAAGGCAATTCCCACCCAAGTGCTGATACATCGGATCTCTTTCCCAGAGAGGCCAATAAGTCGTAATTGAGGAATATATCTCAAATGGCACCAGGTTCCTTCACACAAGAAACGGTACATTGCTTGATTGAAAGGTTTGGGAGTCCCTGACTCCCAAATCGTAAGCATGTCGCCAGTTTGGGCACAGTGATGCAGGCCGAGTCGCATATGTAGGAACCCTTTGGGTTCAGGTGGAGAAGGCCTCCGGTGAAGGCATCAGGTGAAAACAGGGTTCAGTTATCAGGGGTATGCATGACACAAGGGTCTATAGAGTTGTTGGGGTGGAGGTTTAGGGTTCTAAGTGTGGGTTTGCTGGGGTGTTAGCGTAAGTTAGTTATAGCCTGCTGAACAAACAAGTTGCATATTCCACCAGAAGCCATGTTCTGGAATCCTTCCCTGAGCCGGAAACCCCAAAACCCTAAGCCCTAAACCCTAGCCCTGAAGGACATGCGATACAAAGCTGTCGAGACGATTGCAGCCATGGCCAACGAAAGAACAGGCCGGTTTTACTGAAGAGAGTCTTACTGGGGGCTGGTAGGGAATCAGGAATTTTATACAAGGAGTATATGGGGATTATATCCCCTTATTCCCTACTAGCCGCCAGTAAGAAGTTGGAGGTTTAGCAATGTCCTCCTGAAGTTTGTGCCACATGGGATTTATGATGTTGATGTGTGCCATGCCAGTTTAGTTATACAAGTTTTTTGCGAAGTCTAACGCTTGGGCTTGGGAATTTGTCGCAGATCAGATGGGGAATACTAGTATCAGCCACTTGCGTTTGCAATGCGAATGCACCGCGATAGAAATGAGCTTTCTTCATGGTGACGGGTCCTCCTGATATATCCTCTAATCCTTACCTGTGTTATGCGGACTACGAGAAAAGCCAGCAGCCCACCCTCCTGTTTGATTATGGGGGGGGGCCCCCAACAAGCACTCCTACTGTTTGGAAAGCAGTCAACCTTTGCACCACTACTACAAGTTCTCGAGGAAACATTGGGTATACAGGTTCTACAAGACATCTTCCACCAGCAGTATACATTATGTGACCCAGCTTCTAAACTTACCTCTGAAGACTATCCTACAGAAAGGACGACTAAATCCTGCACCCTAAACCTTCGCTCCTGACCTCTCCCCCTGTCCTAGAGCAGCCAAATCTACGCGTAAAAGGACAGCTTTGCACCTAATATTGTTGTATCCCTACCTTTCTTTTGTGGCATGAGGGTACTCCGTCTAAACCCTTCAACTCAAAACTCCCCTAAACCCCATACCCTGAACCCAAGCCCTAAACTGTGTGAAGACCTGCTGCCAGGCATTCTCCAGTCCATCACACGTGGAGAGTACTCGCCAAATCCTGAGTCAGAGGCCCTTGGACGCCACAGGGGTCAAGGTTTTAGGGTTTAGGGTAGAGGTTTTAGGGTTTTGGGTTTTGGGTAGAGGTTTTAGGGTTTAGCTATTAGGGTGTCATGGAGCCACTAGAGGTCTTGTAATAGACAATGTTGTTTACAGGACTTTTGGGCTTGCTGGGTACCTATAGCTATGCGTAGTCCTAACCAACATGAACTCAGAGCGTGACGGTGGAAGTATCTATATGGCTTGCATAGTACGTACTTGGGGCCTAACATGGTTTACGTACGGATAACCCTAAACACTAACCCCATGAACCCTTGGGGCTATAGGTATCGCAGCCTAGGTTTAGGGCTTAGGATCTTGTACGAGGGTCGGGGAGTAGAGTTTAGGACATAGGGTCTGCGGTCAGCAATCTTGCAGGAGGATTTAGGGTTAACAGCTTAGGGTTTGAGTTGACACGAACTGAGTCTCCTTTCTGTACGGTCTCCTTCCAAATGAAGCCCATTTCATGTGTATGCAGGCGCTCCCTTGTGCCGCAAACCATGCGACACGGGCTTCTGTCAGATTCTGGAGGGGGCTTTGTTTGCGTGGGGCGTGCTTTACAACATATTTGGTTAGCAAGATATATGACTAGATCCCCCTGTAAAATCCAGAACCAGAATAGTATAATTGGTTCCTTCGTCTTGTTCATGCCTTCATTCCCTGCTAACCAGGGGTACAGTAAGTGACAGCCCCCACAGTCTGACATAAAGATTTGAAGAGTGGCCACCAGGGGGCTTATGATGTGTTTCGCAGTTTTTTTTGTCTAGGAAGTGGAAATCCCAGGTTGCGAGCAGGCACTGTCCTATGAGCTATAGTCTAAACTCCTTAAAGGGGGCTATATATCGGGGCGTACTACAAGTGATATTGAAGGGCATACTAGGAGTTCAGACTATAGCTCGTAGTCTCTTGCAAGTAGTATTATTTTGGATCTCGCTGGTGTTTTGTATTCTGCTTTCCTGGCTATGTCTTAGCCCTGGGTACAACCCTAAACCTAGGGTGCAAGGAAGATTCTCGAGCACCAAGCTGTCCAAAGTCCCGGATGATGCAATCCCTTACCCAAAGGGTCCATGTACCCAATAATTAGGTGTTTGGGTTTGGGGTAATAGTACTTATAGTACAGGGTTTGGGTAAGTGTATGAGTATCTGGTACTTGGACCCTTAGGGTGATACTTGTGAAACCTCTAGCCCTGTTCCTTCTACTTACTGGTTGTTCGTAGGAAACCCTACATAATATATTCACATAGTCCATACTAAGAACCAGCAAGCCTATCTACGTCCAAGCCCTCATGGAACTTTCACACAAGAAATAACCCTAAACCCTAAACCCTAAACCAAACCCTAAACCCTAAACCCTAAACCCTTAAACCGGGCTTCACAATCTGCACCTGTTGGAGATGCGCTGCTTGCCTCAACCCTAGCCTAAACCTGGAATGCTCAAGTGAGTAGTATTCTGTTTGGGGATACTATGGTACCCAGTATAGAGTGAGATTAGATCCTCCTTTTGGGGTATAGTATTTTATATAAGGAATATTATCTTACTAGGTTCAACCACCAAAAAAACACTACTCAAGTCTAGATTCTGAATTACGACCTTTGAGCACCAACTGTAAACGCCCACACCCCACGCCCAAGACCGGTACCCGGGAATAGAGGAACGGACGCCTATAGTAGTCTGTATACAAGCCCCACAATAAAGTAGTTTCCATGTTCTTTTCCATTCTCAAACCTCAATCCGTAAATGGTACTTCGCATGTGCGTTTTAGGGCTTGGGGTTTAGAGTGTAGGGTTGAGGTTCCCTAAAAGCAGCTGGCAAGCTTATCATGAGCTCTTTCACGCCTCTTTCTGCCAGGATTTCAACCTCCAGGCACGCTCCGGGTGAGTACTGTAGAAGCTTGCAGGTTGCTAAGATAGTCCCTTATAACACACAAAGTAGGTTTTAAGGCTTCTCCGAAGACCCTAAACCCAAAATCCAAAACCTTCGCCACACATATTCATGGATTCAGGCCCCCACATTAGCCAGCTAATCAGGTTGCGATTTGCGAGCCATCTCGTGTTCTTGCGCTGTACAGAAGGTGTAGGCTTCAGGGTTTACCAGGCCCCGCCACAACCACTACCCTTGAATAATGTGTATGTAGTAGGTCCTTTTTGTGGGTTTTTTGGGCTCTATAGGAAGTACTTTGCGGGGTTAGGGAAGGTTGAGGGCTGCAAGTGACCTTGAGCCTAGGTTTTGCTATCGCTAGTGGGATAACCCTGTCCCCGTTAAGTAGAAAGAATATGGTTTTGGGTATACTATAAAATCGTCCCCATATATCCCACATTCTATCTACTTAAGGGGGACTATAGACCATAAACCCCGCGCCCTGAATCCTAAATCTTAACCGCGTCTGAGGGTTTAGGGTAACGTGTGCAGTTTCCTGCAGGACGGATCCGAAGCAATCCCCAATCCTTAGGGACTTTACGGACTATGCGTTTATGGCTTGGTAGATTTCGGATTAGTGACGGTATCCATCCGTTCTCGCTAAAGCTTTCGCAGATGTTCTCTTCTTATGCTTTAAAAACCAAAAAGACTCAATTAGGTGATTTGCTAGTTATCTGGTCTGATGTGCTACTGCGGTGAAAATCTAGACTCTGACTCTGAGGTCCGAGGCTTAACTCAATCTGCCGGCACCTGGGACCTAGAACAACCCCGAGGGTCCAAGTACCCAATAATTAGGTATTTGGGTTTTGGGTATTAGTAACTATAGTATAAGGTTTGGGCAAGTATATGAGTATTAGGTACTTGGACCCTTAGGGAAAGAGATGTACACACATTTAAGCTTCAGGCTTGATGCTCATGCTGTTTCTCAGATATACTCCGTAGGATTACGGACTGGCAGCAGTTTACGGTGTTTACGGAAACCAAGCAGCCTCGGATTACGGCTTACACCCTTGACAAGGATGTGCAGATTATGTATGGAGAACTCTAAGCCCTAGACCACAAACCCTAAACACTGCATTTATTATGAGCTACCTAGCTCAACAGCCGTTTAACCTCATTTGGGCTTGATACCTCTGACGGACACATGGCAGTTTAGGGTTCCGCAGGCCTTGCATAAGAGCAGAAGAAACAGAGCCTCACCTCAGCGCATGCGCGCAGGTCACTTCATCCTTGGTAGTTTTAGGGTGGATCCAGTTGCTGTGAATGGGAAGCGTCAAGCAGTCTGGAGGTTGGTTATACGTGGCTTAAAGTGGGGCACTTGATGTTTTGATGTTCTTCTTCGGCCCTTAACCCAGAACTCCAAATCTAAAACCCCCCCAAACCCTAAAAGCCCTGCATTGTTTGGCAGGCGATCCTCCAAGAGATAGACGTGCGGTGGGACGCTTGCGATGGCGAGTATGGTGAGGAGTTAACTGCTCACAACTGGGCTTGAAAATCCTACTTACCATACTTCTAACTGGCCTTGCAGTGTTGTCCCATTTAGAAGAGAGGCTATAAGCCCAGTCGTGATCAGTTACTAAGTCCCATGAACCTGCAGATAAAATCGGCATGTGATAGTTATAAGGTCCAAAGTTTCTCAGTTTGGGTTCTTGCTTCAAAAGAGCTAGTGGGTCAGACCTTCAAACTCAGAGATCTGGAATTGACGTGCATTCCATCAGAAGGGGAGCAATCTTCCTCTTCAAGCCAAAGCTCTGGAGGTTCAGAGCTCAGCGTTCAGGATTAGGGCTTTTCTTGGTGAGATTTTTCCCTGAGGGCTGCTTAATGGCCAGCAGAGGCACTATGTATAGACCTCCGTAAACCTTAAACCCTCAACCCTAGACCCTAGTCTACTTGGAGACCCGGGGCCCTGCAGCTTTAGCACTTGAACACTTTTGGGCTTTTTTTGGGTTGAGCTAATCATTACATCTGTAGTGGGGAGGTCAAGGAGCAACCAGGCTTTGCAAGTGTGTTAAACTTGCATTGACTTCCTTCTTTGTTTCTTATGCTTTAAGGTTTAGGGTTTATAGTGTTTGGACAGAATTTTGACCAATTACCAATTCCCTTTTAGGAAATTCCTTCTTTGGAATTGAATGTGACTACTCCTTGCAGAGCAGGAGGAGGATATCATTGACGCCGTCCGTTCCCAGACGCTCTCACTGAACGAGATGCGACCTTCCGTGCGCTACAGCGATAGGCAAGGCTTGAGCTGTAGCCCAGAGGGTCCAAGTACCCAGTGATTAGGTACTTGGGTTTTGGGCAATAGTAACTATAGTATAAGTTTTGGGTAATAGTAATTATGGTATAAGTTTTGGGTAAGTATATGATTATTAGGGACTTGGACCCTTAGGGTGGGTAAAATGTTACTCGGCTTGGGGTATGGGGCTTTTGGGGCTGGGGCACGGCTTACCTGTATCCTCCGGGCTCCTCCTTAGTATATAAGGGCTGTCAGTAGGATAGGACCCCCATTACATTGGAATGTATACAGTAGCTTTGGATGTGTCCTTCCGGGCTTGTACCTGACGCTGCCGAGCTTAGGCTCTGTAGCTTGTGGGGTTGGTGCTGAAAGGGGTCGGTTCCCACCTTAGCAGAAGCCGCCATCCCTTCAGTCTTTTGCACCCTTTGATGGTTTCCGCTGGTGCGAAGTTTTATTTCTTTCAATGCCTGAGCCTGAAGCCCTGCAAGCTGAAGCACCTAGCCTTCTATGCCGCAACCCAATTTCCAAAATCTCGTAAATCTTGTGCAGGGTGCCTGAAGCAGAGCTTCCAGTACCAGGACGGGTTGAGTGTTTAAGTTTCAGTTGTTGGAAATGGCCTCAGTACACACCCTAAATATCGTACCTTTTGCAAAGCTAGCGAGGCAACCGGAAGTAGCCTCACGCTTCTAAACGATGAATGTAGATATGTAGTTTCTAAGCCTGCGAACCTTCAAGTGGACATTTCTTGGGGTTGTATGCTTGGAGCTATGAACGCAGGGTCCAGGGTTTAAGATTTGGGCATATTTACGGTGTAGTGGTTGCACTTCATGTGCGGCTGGGGATTGATGGATTTGTTATCCGGCCCTGAACTCTATAATCTTAAGCTCTTATCCCCAAACTCTAAACCCTACACCAGAACTTAACTTTGAGGTTGGTTTCAAGTATCCCTGACGACCCAATTGCCCAATAAGCAGAATCTCGTCTCAAATTCAAACTATGAAGAGGAAACCGCTCTGAAATTGAACGTATGTGTTATATGGAGGTTTCTCAAAGCAATCTGCACGGAATCCTTCATATGGACCCCAATAGTCCCCTTATTCGCAGGGGTCCTCAGGGTAATTCCCCCCCCCTGTTGAGACGCTGGGACGTTTCGGGTATGGTCAGGGTTCCTCCTAGGTCCGCGTCCTTTCGTTAGTCCGAAGGGTTTGGCAGGGTTACAATCACGAGTATGATGCTGTCAGGTTGGCGACGCGAGCCTGAATTTACCAGGGTTTGGGGGTGGGAGTTCAGGGCTTAGAGATTTGGCGGACAATTACCAACATTATCTCCCAATTCTTTGTATGTTTTTGTCTAGTACCTCAAACAAGTCTCAACTGACACTGGTATTAAACCACGTCCTCTACAGTCGGACCCTGAAGTCGTAACAATTTTGCGGTTTTGCTTGCCCACACTGCGGAAGTAGAA